GTTGGCCGGAGGGAAGTAGTACTGCCCGCCGATTTGTGCAACGGCTTCTCGTACGTCCCACTCACATACACGTGTCCTTTCCTCGGTGTAGGGAAAAGGTCGCGTTGGGATGGGAGATACGGGAGGCTGACGCCCAATCGAGGGGTGCTTGTCAGTCCACATATCAATCAATCATATATATATATATATCCAGAGGCATCATTACGAGCGAAACTCATTCATGCGACCCTCAATCTTCCCTTCTTGACACACGAGGGAGTAAACACACATCCGCTTGTTGGTTTCCGGCGCCTTGTTTCTCAATGTCGCTTGGTGGCGTGGTTGCTGATGTCGTGTCGCGTAAGGCAGATGGCATGCGCAGTGTGTTCGGGACTATGGATCTAAACACTATTGTACTCTCGAACAAAATTCCGACGACATTCGTCTAATCAATTTGAAAAGTCACACATCTCTATACATGCATTCGCTGTGGAAGGTGCGAAAATGAGACATTTACGGAAAAAGTTGAATCACATTGCACAGTACATACGCATCCACCGTTCACAAGACAAGTAGACGGGGTCCTTGCGTAGGAGGATTATCCAGAAAACTAATGGAAGAGTTCCGGAAGAAGTTCTTTTACGCCGAAACAGGAGGCCGACTCATTCCCATTTAAGAGAGGGACAATCATTCAGACGCGTCATTATTAAAAAAGGGAGAGAGAGAGAGAGTCGAGGGAAAGAAAGTCCAAAATAAAAGATGACAAGATCCAAAAAGAGAAAAGTTCGGCGTCACCACCGTACACTCATGTCAAAGATAACAATCCGCAGCAAAGGCGCATACACCATTAATTCCAATTTGGCCCCGGGCCCATCAACTCAACATCGATCCTCAGACCCACACCGACGATCCCGGTCGTCGCGTGCTAACTCCCACCGTTGCGATCGTCACCCCGCTGTCGTAAACTCGACACGGTTCGCCCGGATCCCACAGTCCGTCGTGGCGATCAGGCGCGCAACCGGCCAGCCTATCGTCAGCCCGACAGGAATCTTCGACTTGCATAAAACACTCTGTCTAGCCACTGCTTCCCGGAAGCTGGCTCGAGAGTCGAGAACGTAAGAGAGATCAGCGGACGCGCTTGCGGATTTTATAGTTGCGACAGGGGAGATAGAAGGGGGAGAAGGCGACAAGAAAGCTGAGGTGTAAGAGGAGAAGGAGGAGAAGACTTTGAGGCGAGTGTTCTACGAACGCCATGCTGATCCCTCAGAACTCAAGGTTCAACCAATCAAATTCGTCGCGCGATAGGAAGGTCCTATCGATCCACGCACCTGATTAGCGAGCGGGAGTTATCGGGAGATTGATTGCGCGTCGTATGCCCCGCTCAGAGGGTGAGAAGAGAAAAGGCGCGAGAGGTGGCGCAAGACGGGTCCAAGATTCAGATGATCGAGAAAGGGAAATGGGCGCTCGAAAGCAAGGCGGGAGAGGGAGAGGGAGAAGGAAAAAAAAAAAAAAAAAAAAAAAANAAAAAAAAAAAAAAACAGTTACGGGAAGAGAGAAAAAGGAGGGAGAAGGGAAGGGAGGCGCGAGAGGGGGTGATGCGGGGGACAGAGAGGAAGAAGTTTTTGCATGCACGGCGCCGTCAACAAAAAAAAGAAAAAGGCACCGAAACAGTTACAGCTGACTCCTAATTCAAAATTGAAATCATCATATCCGCGCGTGAAAAAGCGACGTGTGAAAAGAAAATCCTACGCTTATTCGTGTCCGGACGAAATTCCGAAAGTTTTCCCCGGCGCGCCCAAGAACATTTACACACCCAAAAAATGACATATCGAAGTTCCGCTTATCCCGGAATTCCCAACTGCCGAACCCAATTCCCAGTGCGCTCGCTAAGGCGCACGTAAATTCCCATGTATTTCCCGTCTTGCAAAAAGAAAAACAGAACTCAGAAGTCGAAAAGGCTTTCAGAAAAAAGAAAATGTGACCTCCGTAAACAAAAACTCGAAACGGGGTTTTCCTGGGGTTGGTGTGATACAAGCAAAAGAAAGGGTACGAAAAATGGCACGGGGTCGGGAAGTGGTTCGTCACATATGTGACGCGCAGGGGGTTCCAAAAGCGATCTCCTGATTGCATGTTATGGCGGAGAAGGAGAGAGAAAAGGAAAGAACAGAGTGATGCATGAGGAACCAATCATATCAACAGAGCTTCCGAAAGAAGTACAAGCAACGATAACTGAGCCGCGGATGAGATGACGACAACATCCGTGGCAAGATCTCCGAAGCCCTGTCATATGCAACCCTCTGCCTCGTGGAGATCGTCCAGGTGACGCCATCATGGTCCACCTGATCTCCGTGTGCTCTGCACCCCTGCTTGTTGCAGTTCGTCGAATCAGCGCGTAGGTTGACGTCATCGTTGATGGCGTGATCTTCGCGAAGCTTACTGATTCGGGCCGATGAAGGGAGGAGGGGGGGGGTCAATCGAATGGCATCTACCACCGCCTAGTTGGAATGGGCCAGTAGAGGCGGTACATGCCGGGGATTTTGCGGGGATGACGGGGAGGGAGKGGGGGKAGGAAGCGATTCATCCCTTCCATCGTCACTGAGAGCTCCTCGTATCGGATGATTCGATGGAAGCGGGGGAAGTGATCGCCAGTGTGGGGGAGGGAAGCGAGGTAATCACGATAGAAGGAGGAGAGGGTGTGGAAAAGTGCTGCTCGAAAGTTCTCGAAGTGGTGGCAGGCGGGGATTATCCCCGTGGCAAGACAATAGACTTCTAAGACGTTGCGTTGTTCCCATGCAGCGTTGAACAGCAGGAGATGCCAGTAGAATGTGGGAGCAGCGGACCGCAGGGAGGCGTGGGGGTGGACGGTGGCGAGTAAACGGGTAGAGTAGAAGTCACGGAAGAGATGGGGATGGAAAGGGTGGGAAGGGAAGGTGATGGGGGTACAGATCTTTTTGAGGGTGAGGAAATCAAGGGGCCGGCGGGACAGCGTCTGAGGACAAAGGCCTATCGCCCGCATCCGTACATGGGCGAACTGGGGGACGGGTGGGGCTGGAGGAGGAGGGGGATCGGCGCCGTCTCCGTCGTGCGGTACTTGAGGTGGCGGCTGCAGGGTCGCCATCTTCTTCGTCGTCGTCGTCGTTGATCACCACTTCTTCTGCCCTCGGGTAGAAGGCGTAAGGGATCTTGTACGGCTTCAGATATTTCTGCCGCGATGGTAGGGTATCCTCGTCCCTAGGTTCCTCCAAGCACGAAGTCCACTGGAGGTACGGATCCAAGGACCGCTCGAAAATGTACGGAGCGGGACTGTTGTTGTTTTCAAAGTAAATGTCGGGCGAGAGATCGTCCGCCAATTGCACGATCGGTGCGATGAGCTCCTGTGCTATCAAGTAACAGCGCCCTGGTCGTACCGACCCAAAGAGGAATCCAATGAGATCTCCTTCCGTGTTAGTCCTCCAACCCTGTATGATCAACAGCTCCGGATTCTCGATCCACGTGGGATGCTCGCTAGTGCCCGTCCACGTCACCTGTACTCTGGCCAAGCAAAAGGACAGCTCCTCAAAAGTTTCGCGCCACAATCGCCAAATTCCAGGAATGATAAGAGAGACTGGAAGAGGCTCGAATGAGAAGGAAAGAGAAGGGTGAAGATCGGATTGCCAGACGGTGGGGAAGAGAGAGGGAAGGCCAAAGGTAGAGAGAGGAGCGAGGCGAGCAGCATGGTTCATTGGGGACGAGGGAAGGGGACGATGGTCGGGATCGCAACTGCCCGCTCGCGTGGTGATCGGCGAATACTGTCAATATCCGATGCAACGATCAGGATGATGTTATACTCTTCCCGGGCGAGGACGTGCTGCCACACGTTGGACACTTGCTCCGTCCACTCGCGCAGCGAGGCCAAGATCGCGATATGCCGCAGCGGAGCGACCGAGCTGATGTCTCCGGTGAATCCCGCCACTATGGTGACGTGGCTCGTTCCGGGACCCGCTCGCCGATGAACTGCAGTAACCTCCGCGAACACTATCGCGTGAGGGCTTCCTTCGATTCGAAACGTGGCAGCGGCACAGATACCTTCGTCGCAGAAAAATCGCATTAAACGCCGAAGATCCGTATTGAGCCGATGGTGACAAACTTGTCGAATCTCTGAGATGTGGTCGTGTGGCTGCAACAGCTGAATGTCAAGAACCCGCTCCGTGATAAAACTCATGGCGAGGTCGGAGAGGAGGATGAAGGACAAGAGTGAGAAAGACGAGAGAAAGTTAGATCATCGTCGTTCTCCTTGCTTTTCGAGGAAGAAGAGGGAGGACGATCGGAAGGAGGAAGAAGACGGAGGTAGGAGGTATGCCGGACGATGGGGACAGAGTCATGGCTGGTACTAGCCTCAGGCGCGACGCGCACCGTGTTAGCGCCGTTGGGTCCGAGCTCGACTACGCGAAAACAACCAGAGTACTTGGGAGCGAGTTTCCGGTCGCGTGCACACTTACGTACCTGCACTAGGTCCCCTACCTTTTATTGGTACTGGGGCCCAGTGTTTCCATTCCGGGCTTCGTAGCTACGGACCTGTCGACCGTGGGCCAGCTCGGTCATCCTTTGTCTTTTTCGGGCTAGCTTTGGAACGGCCTGTTCCATCAAATCGGTGTACCTTTTGGCCTTAGCCTTGAGGGCCGCACGCGTGTCTCTACCCCGTGCTTCGGCAATTTTCGAGTTGCCCCGGTAATCGACACAGGGGAGGCTATTAGTTCGAAGCTAAAAGGGGGTAAACCCCGTAGATTCGTGAGGGGTGGCCCGGTGGATGCAGATGATCTGATATATGATATCAGGCCACGGACGCGTGTCGTGTGCCGCTAAGTTCCTGCGAAGGGCGGTTTTAATCGTACGGTTGGCATTCTCGGCCAACCCGTTCGACTGGGACACGTGAGGTGCCATATGTCGGAGCGCGACGCCCCTTCGCGCAAGCAATTCTTCTAGCTCGCCTTTAAATTCAGATCCATTGTCGGTTAGAATTTCTTCCGTATCTAGATGGGTATAGAGGAACCGTTCGATGTACGTGGCAACTTCTGCAGCTTTTCGGGTCTTACAGGGATAGACCTCGATGTACTTGGAAAAGTGGTCAATTAATACTAATAAAATATAATATTCACAGCGGTTTGGGCCAGGTGGCACGTCAATATCTGTCGTGTTCATACTGACTCGCTGAAAAGGACGCTCTACTTTCATTGCTACGATGGTGTTTGGTCCCCGTATAGGGGCGCGATCAGTGGCACAGACCGGGCAGTTAGCGACAATGTATTTTACATCACTTCGTATATTGGACCAGAACCATCGATTCTGGTCTACAGTTGCCTCCGTGACACGTATCGCGAAATGAGCGGCCTGTTGCTCGTGAGCAGATCGGATCCAATCGTATCTTTGGAAGTGATGGGGAACTGTCAGCCACGAACCCGATCCGTCAGTTTTACGCTTTTCCAAATGACCGTTGATCCATCGATAGTCCCGAGATCTCTCGGTCGCCCTATGTCTGTCGTGTTTGGTGAGATGGCCCAATGATAATCCCGCTAATTTTGCCAATAAAATTTTATCCATCCAGACTTCCGCTCGTCGGTATTTCTCGTCATATTCAGGTCCGTCCGTACGGGCGGCCTCGAATCGAACCTCCGTAGGGAGCTTGTTCGTTCTACATAGGGGGCACCTCCATTCCTTGCTATTTGTCCGATATCGAACGCAGGCCTCGTGCGCACGGTTGACACATGTGGCACATTCTACCCAATCGACAAACCCAGTTTCGAAGGGATGACAGTCAACCCCATAAACTCGTGCAATGCACGTGCAAAAATAACAGAATTTATCAGGGAGGGTGACAAAGAAAGCGGAGGACGTGAGAGGGGCAGTATTAGCAGGAGATGAAGGGGTTGCGGAGGCGAGTGGAGTAGTCATGATGCTAGAGGAGGAGAGGATGCAGGGAGGGTAGGATAGAACAATTAGTCCTCGTGCCACTTACTGCTTCGATAAGATCTCCTTTTGGCCGTACTGAGGTCCGATCTCCTGTTTGGGTTCGTTTCACGGAATCACCTTCCCACCCTTTGGAACCTTCTCAGGCCGATGAAGACGTGTCAGCCCATCCGCATTCCCATGTCTCTCGTGCTTCCGATGGCGGATGTCAAAGTCCATGCGCTGCAACACCGTGGCCCATCGCCTGATCATGCCTGAGTAATCCTTCGACTTCTTCAGAGCAAACAGGGGCTCATGATCAGTCACCAGGGTGAATTTTCGCCCGTACAGGTAAGCTCGAAAGTGTTTGATCCCCCAGAGAGCCGCATAGCATTCGCCCGTTGGAGCGGTGTAATTGCGCTTGCAGGCGGGCACCAATTGGGACGTATATTCTACCACATTTTCGAGTTCGATTGGTCTCACCTGGGCAAGGATCGCCAAAATCGCCTCTGGCTGCCAGTTGGTGATGAGAACAAAAGGCTTTTCGGGATCTGGTCTTATAAGGACCGGAGCCGAAATGAGAGCAGCCTTGAGTTTGGAAAACGCTTGATCGCACTCCGGCGTCCAGATCAATGGTTGATCCTTTCGCAGGAGATTTGTGAGGGGTCCCACAATCGCCGCGAAGCCCTTGATAATTCTTCGGTAATACGAGGCTAGGCCCAGGAAGGCGCGAACTTGCGTGATAGTGGTAGGCACTGGCGCGTCCCTAACAGCTGCCACCTTCAGCGGCTCCGGTTGGAGTTCCTTGTCCGTCACCACGTGCCCCAGGAAGGGAATGATGGTGAGAAAAAATTGACACTTCTCAAGCGCCATCTTGAAACCTGCATCTCGTAACGCATGAAGTGTCCATTCAATGTGCTGCACGTGTCCCTCGTAAGAGCTCGAATACACTAGGATGTCATCCATTTACACAATCACGCAGTAGTTGATGATGCTCTGCGCTAGACGAACCTTCCGTACGAAATTATGAAAAGCCATATTCATGGTCCGCTGAAACGTGGCAGGCGCATTGCAAATTCCCATCGGACATCGAACCCACTGCCACGTATCTTTAAACAACACAAGGACCGTTTTCGGTCGATCTTCTTCCCGGACAAGAAGATGATGAAACCCATGATGAACATCAATCTTGCTGAAAAATCGAGCATCCCCAATTGCATCCAATAACTCATCAATCCGGGGGAGGGGATACACATTTTTAATCGTGATTTCATTTAGTTTTCGATAATCAATGCAAATGCGAATCCCTCCAACCTTTTTAGGTACGATTACTACAGGGAAAGACCATGGCCCTATAGCGGGTTCGATCCATCCATTAGCTTCGAACTCCTTAATCCGCTGAAAGGCGGCCGCTCGTTGAGCTGGCGAGTATTGGTAGGGAGCGCAACTAATAGGCGGATGATCTCTCATGAGAATGACATGTTCAATTACATTAGTTAAGCTAGTATCATTGTCCTGCACGCTCAACACTTCTGCGTAACTATTCAATACACAGATTAACAACTTTCGAAGTTCCGCGGGAACGTGACTCGGGAGGGGGATCGTCGATTCCCCGGACATATTAAGGGGCATATTGATCCAATCAACCGGCCGTTCTCGCCGCTCATGGACACTAGAGAAAAGGGAACTACTGGTGCGAACAAAAAAAAACAGTTGCTATCATCGGGGACTCAGCGGGGCTGATCATCTCTGTTTCTTTAGTTTCAGTGTCGGTCTCTGAGCCAACCGAAGTTGGTTCCACAGTTAGCCCTGTTAGATCCGTCATTTGCATCAGATTAGGTACGTCACTTACCGGTGTTTCCGCTTCTTGTTTAATCAAGGCGATGGTGGCTCCTGTTGTTAATAACGGTCGGGGCGGAAAAACAGAGACATCCAAATACTGTTCCGTTCGTTGATAAYGCGTTCGTAAGGAAAGAGCTCCTTCGTATAATGTGCGAGGGGGTTCCAAATCATCAGCCAGGTCGGAAACTTGTAATATGGGTTCCCCGAGGAGGACTGAAGGACTGACCTGGGTTGCTATAGGCGTGAATGCACTGTCTTCAGAACCCACGTGGAAGCGAGCGGTGTCGGGGCATACTCGAGATTCTTCAAGGGTTTCATGTTCGAAAAGTTCAACCAGATGCTTCCATTCTTCTTTACTGGGCATCTCTTTTTCGTATTCTCGTTCCCTGATTCCATCCCCGAGGCGCGAGGGGGAGCACTCCTCGGGATCAATGCCTCGGATCATCGCTATTTGGGGCGAGTTAGGAACTCGTTTTATCGTTCGGGTGGAAACCCGCAAAGGAACTGTCTGAGGCTTTCCCCGGTTTGCGTGAGCACTAGTTGTTTCGAATCGAAATGCAATCGTGCGCCTACAACCATTACCCAAGGTAATCCCAACAACACAGAGTAGGAACGTACGTCGATTACAAGTGCGTTAACTAGGACGTGTACTCGTCCGACTTTTACAGCCACGTTTTCGATAATCCCTACAATGTTCATTGTTTCCTCGTCGGCAGAGACATAGTTGTCCTTGCCAAATTGAGGAAGAATGGACTTAAGTCGCCCCGTCTTCTTGACGGTATCTAACGATATGGCCACTGTTGACGACCCTGTGTCGATAAGGGCATTGAACAGCTTGCCCCAAACTTCACAGTCACATTCCGCACTTTTCCATAGCACCGGTCGAGCTCGTACGAAGTGATCCTTTTCTACAAAAGAGATCGCTGCTATACGGGCGACTTCAGGTTCGGGCTCTTTTGTGTCAGGTTCGGGAGACGCGACTTCCTCGCTTCCTTCCTTCTTTTTCAACATCCGTTGTATGCGCTGATAAGTAAAACGCTTTTGATTTTTCTGGCATTGTTGTAGAAGCTTATCGTTCGCCACTTCAGATATGGTGAGCAGATGTCCCACTGGGACGGGCACGCGAATGTCCAACTGCTGGAGTGTTCTCAGTACGTCAATGTCTCTTGTCCGAAACTGCGGTCCTGGATTGGACTCGCGATCGTCCCACTCGAGATCATCTGGGACCGATCGGATTGCTCCGATCATGCCTGCGAGATGGAGATACTCGAGAGGGTCGACCACGTCAGCGGCGTCAGAGGAAGAAGCTCTCGAGGTTGACGCTGTTATCAACGACGGGGAAGGCTGCTCGGGGGCATATGCCCCGAGTTCTCCTCCTTGGTTCGTATCCATCAAAGCGGCCACTTGTCCTTGATTCAGGGTCACGGGGGCCGCCGCAGGTGGGTGCTGACTTCGCCTGGGTTGCGGGCAATCGCGGGCGAAATGTCCAGGCTGTTTGCAGTTAAAACACTCGATCTTTCCGGCCTGATTCGCTAGATGAGGGAACTGAGGTGCGCAACCTGGAGTAGGTGGGGCAGGTAGGATTGGAAATGACGCAGGGGCAGGCCGAGCAGGGGTCGGGTTAGGCTTGATCAACCTGCTCATTATCTGCTCCATCCTTTCCGTATGGGCGGCCTGCATTTTGATCAAATTACTCATCCATTCGGACTGTTTGGTAGTGGCTGTATGGATCATCTGGGCAAGATATAAGTTGGTTACGGCTGGCGAGGGGGATCCGGGTGGGATCCCACTCATGACTGTCGCAATTGGTTGATTCACCGGGGGAGAGGGAGAAGAGACGGGCGGGGTATCGGAAACAGATCTCTCGGGGAGATCATGGTCGGAGCGAGGATAGAACCGTTCTACCGCTTGCAGCCATGATCGCCTTTTTGCTGCTACATCCCGTATAGTATCAGTAATATCTTCGTCTCCCTGACTGATATATTTTTTTGTATCGGCCAGGTCCAGTTCTAGTGCTTTAGCGATGATAGTGGGGAGCGGGTGCACCTTCGGCGGGACTTTTTTCTGCAACTTCCCTTTTAACGCGGGACTTCGTAGGTGATCGATGAACAGATCTCGAGCAGACTTCTTGTCTCGCCCAGATTTGTCCAGCGTGGTTTGAAATCGATCCACGAAATCGGGCAACAATTCTCCCGGTCCTTGTGACCGATTTTTAAGTACGTACCACGCGGCATCTTCACTGACTGTATCAAATCGAGCCAAAAAGGCTTGTTTGAAGGTATTCCAATCTACCCATGCATGCTTTCTAAACCAGTCATTTGAGGTATTGCGGAGTAGCAAGGTAAGAACGCGGGGAAGATCGAATGCGCTGTAGTTTTGAGCTTCGACAGCTTCCAGCCAAGCCTCGGGATGGGTATGGTTGGGGAAGAAAAGGAAGGGGGCGGGGGTGCTAACGATCACCCTAGTACCGTCCACCATTGGTACAGTTGGTAGGACAGCACCAGATATAGATCTGGTTACGGGACGATCTCGACGAGCTAGTTGAGGGTCTCTCCTATCTCTCGCCAGTTCGGCCTACTATCATCAGAACCGACACGTGTCGGCTCCGATACCAACCTCACACCCTCTGCTGTCTTCCGTTCAGAGTGTTAACTGTGCGAAAAAGAGGCCCCGAAAAACAGCAAGAAGGGGTGTGCCAAGGATTTTTGAAAATTGAGTGTGGGGACACAGACAGAACTGAAATCCCCCGTGTTGGTCCGATGAAGCAAGTCGATTAGTTTCGCGCGTCGCGGACTTGGCGCGAAAACAGAAAGATCCAAATTCAATCCAAAAAGTACTGTCGGGCTTCCCACCGAGGTACGGCTCGTCGTTTAGAACGGAATGGCTCTCGCACCCTTCGCGTGTCTCGTTTTCGTATCAGATCTCGTCGTCGCTCATGGGTCAGTTACGAGTCCGACGTGGATGGTCTCAGCCGAGTGGCTCTTTCCTTATGCTCGTCCTCACTCCGTATTCGATAGTGGAAGCCCCTCGCTTCGTAGCGATTGAAACGCTGGCACTCCATGCACAGAATGCGGGGCCAATGGGGCGTCACGGCCGTACACGGAATGACAAATCCAGTAGGGTGGAAAGTGCGTATCGATAATGACAAATCCAGCGTCTACGAACCCAGAACAACGGTTGGCCGGAGGGAAGTAGTACTGCCCGCCGATTTGTGCGACGGCTTCTCGTACGTCCCACTCACACTCACTGTAGGGAAAAGGGCGCGTTGGGATGGGAGATACGGGAGGCTGACGCCCAATCGAGGGGTGCTTGTCAGTCCACATATCAATCAATCATATATATATATATATATATATATATATAGATATATATATCCAGAGGCATCATTACGAGCGAAACTCATTCATGCGACCCTCAATCTACCGTTCTTGACACACGAGGGAGTAAACACACATCCGCTTGTTGGTTTCCGGCGCCTTGTTTCTCAAGGTCGCCTGGTGGCGTGGTTGCTGATGTCGTGCCGCGTAAGGCAGATGGCATGCGCAGTGCGTTCGGGACTATGGATCTAAACACTCTTGTACTCTCGAACAAAATTCCGATGACATTCGTTTAATCAATTCGAAAAGTCACACATCTCTATACATGCATTCACTGTGGAAGGTGCAAAAATGAGACAGTCACGGGAAAAGTTGAATCGCATTGCACAGTACATACGCATCCACCGTTCACAAGACAAGTAGACGGGGTCCTTGCGTAGGAGGATTATCCAGGAAACTAATGGAAGAGTTCCGGAAGAAGTTCTTTTACGTCGAAACAGGAGGCCGACTCATTCCCATTTAAGAGAGGGACAATCATTCAGACGCGTCATTATTCAAAAAGGGAGAGAGAGAGAGAGAGTCGAGGGAAAAAAAATCCAAAATAGAAGATGACAAGATCCAAAAAGAGAAAAGTTCAGCGTCACCGCCGTACACTCACGTCAAAGATAACAATCCGCAGCAAAGGCGCATACACCATTAATTCCAATTTGGCCCCGGGCCAATCAACTCAACATCGATCCTCATACCCGCACCGACGATCCCGGTCGTCGCGTGCTAACTCCCACCGTTGGGATCGTCACCCCGCTGTCGTAAACTCGACACGGTTTGCCCGGATCCCACAGTCCGTCGTGGCGATCAGGCGCGTAACCGGCCAGCCTATCGTCAGCCCGACAAGAATCTTCGACTCGCATCAAACACTCTGCCTAGCCACTGCTTCCCGAAAGTTGGCTCGAGAGTCAAGAACGTAAGAGAGATCTGCGACGCGCTTGCGGGTTTTATAGTTGCGACAGGGGAGATAGAAGGGGGAGAAGGCGACAGGAAAGCTGAGGTGTAAGAGGAGAAGGAGGAGAAGACTTTGAGACGAGTGTTCTACGAACGCCATGCTGATCCCTCGGAACTCAAGGTTCAACCAATCAAATTCGTCGCGCGATAGGAAGGTCCTATCGATCCACGCACCTGATTGGCGAGCAGGAGTTATCGGGGGATTGATTGCGCGTCGTACGCCCCGCTCAGAGGGTGAGAAGAGAAAAGGCGCCAGAGGTGGCGCAAGATGGGTCCAAGATTCAGATGATCGAGAAAGGAAAATGGGCGCTCGAAAGCAAGGCGGGAGAGGGAGAGGGAGGCGCGGGACGCGGTGATGCGGGGGACAGAGAGGAAGAAGCTTTTGCATGCACGGCGCCGTCAACAAAAAAAAGAAAAAGGCACCGAAACAGTTACAGCTGGCTCTTAATTCAAAATTGAAATCATCATATCCGCCCGCGAAAAAGCGACGCGGGAAAAGAAAATCCTACGCTTATTCGTGTCAGGACGAAATTCCGAAAGTTTTCCCCGGCGCGCCCAAGAACATTTACACACCCAAAAAAGGACATATCGAAGTTCCGCTTATTCCAGAATTCCCAACTGTCGAGCCCAATTCCCAGTGCGCTCGCTAAGGCGCACGTAAATTCCCATTTATTTTCCGTCTTGCAAAATGAAAAACAGAACTCTGAAGTCGAAAAAGCTCTCAGAATAAGGAAAATACGACCTCCAAAAACAAAAACTCGAAACGGGGTTTTCCTGGGGTCGGTGTGATACAAGCAAAAAAAAGGGTACGAAAAATGGCACGGGGTCGGGAAGTGGTTCGTCACATACCTGCCTTGCCCCCCTCCTTTCCTCTCTTCTTCCCTTTTTCCTCCAATCCACAGATATGACAATTCTGATCTGATATTTGACGTTGTTTATCATTTCTTTGTCACTCATTTATTCGTTGTTGAATACTTGTTTGTTCCTTCTTTGCCATGTCACTGAGAAGCCAATAGCTCGGATCACATGGGCAACATACCCCACCCTTCTGCCAGATGGAAGCGTTTTGGAACCCATCCTACTGTCTTAACGCGAAAAAAAACGTACGTACGTTGTATACGAATACAACGTACAGGGTACATTGTATTCAAATACAACGTACGTACGTTGTACAACGAGTTTTAGGGTACAACTTTGTAGGAGCTTGTAGTACGAGACATAGTTTTTATTTCTTTCTCGAATTTGGTTGGGAATTTCTCCAAGACCCTCAGGCAAAAGTTTTTTGTATTGTAATTTCGTATAACATAGTTTTTTTTCAGATTTTTTTGGATTATTTTGAAAAATAAAAAAATCAGAAAATACTGCAAAATGTCGTCGAAAGATATTTTTATTCTTGTTTTTATTTTTTTCTCAAATTCATTTGTGAATTTCGACATGACCCTTAAGTTGCTTGTATTGCAATGTTGTACAACTTTCGTTTTTTTTCAATTTTTTTTGATTTTAAAAAAAAATTAAAATTAACACAAATTCGAATACAATGTACGTACGTACGTTGTATTCGTACGTACGTTATATTCGACAGTACGTTCTATTCGAGAAAAACTCGACTATTTCGGAAAACCCATTTTTTCGAGGTAAGTTGAAAAGAACATACGTAGGTTTTTGTCGGGTTAAGACAGTTATACAACCCATACCTTGTCCCACAGAAAGGCATCATCTGAGAGTTGCAACCATTGTTTCACCCACCGTCTCCAGACCTTGGCCGAAGCAGGGCATTTCCACCACAGGTGAACAGTTTATTTGTACGCCCATTAACACCTTCTACACAATGTGTCAATTGTCATCCCTCTCTCCGTTAGTTAGATCGCTTATGGCATGGCCAATAGAGATAAGAGCCACAGCGTAACCACCAATCTTTGGCTTGGCATCAGCACCAGTTGTTGCCAATGGTGAAGGAAGGAGCGAGTTACCTGTTCCGGATCTGCCTTGAGCACTTTGACCCACTTGTCTGTTTCCACCATTCATGGAATTCTTCCGTTATCCTGAACTCTGTAGCCCAAGTTTGCGTCGTACTCCTGCTTTACCCCTCCCTCACCATGCGCATTGCATTGGGTTTGCTCTCAGTAGGGCTATTGCTTGACCATTCGCTAGGAGAGTTATCGTCCAAGTTCCGACTTCATCGTAGGTCTTACAGATTATAATCTTAGAAAGTATAGTGGATGGTCTCGCCTCTATTCCATTTTCTTCCGCTAAGTTTAATTTATGGGAGTATCCTTCATTGCCTGGTCTCCAACATTCGAAGGTGTGTCTGCCGTCTTCATTGACTCGTACCAGCTTCTAGTATTCTGGTTGGTTGGGGTTGAGCTTGTCAGTGAGCCATGTCCCTCATGGATATATCCTCTCTAGGTCCAGCAGGTCTACCCACTCCTGGGGGATAACTTCAATAATTGCTCCCAACTTTGCCCCGATTGCTCTCAAGTTTTCAAAAGTCTCTTTTAGGTTCGATATCGAAATTGAGTCACTTCTGAATTCGCCGCAGATGTCTTTCACTCGGACGACTCCTTATTCAATCCAGGCTCGCCCAAAGTTGCCTGTTGCTCTGTCTGCTGCAAACCAA